CTCGGGCACGGTGCCCGTGCTGAGCGTGGCTCTGCCGTCCTCGCCAGGCAGGGCTGCCCCGGCCCTGCTGACCACGTGTCTCCGGCAGATCTGCGCTCCGGCGGACCCGGCTGTCCCCCTGACCGTCAAGAACCACACGGAGGTTCTCCGGTGCTTCACGGTGCTCGGTAAGGGCTGGCGCGGGCGCTGCGCGTTGGGCGCTGGGAGGAGCGGAGGCTGTTGTGTGAGGCTGGTGCGTTCCCTTCATCCTCCCCTCCTCGTGTCGCAGGAGGGTTGAGCCTGGGCAGGACCTCTGGAATCATCTAGTTCCCGTCCGGGCTCCTGCTGGCCATGCTCTCGTGCAGGGCCTCTCCCTAGGGCCTCGTTTCGGAGGTTTCCGCAGAGCTCAGGAGGCTGCTGGGGCTGCTCTTGGAGAGAGAGGCACCGGGTGCAGTTTGCATTTGGATGTGCCCCTGTGTCCATTGCACAACCCTGCGGTGCCGGGCCCACATGGCCGCCCTGCTCGGGTGCATGCAGCAGCTCGTGCATCCCCAGCCTCCGTGCGCGGAGCCTCCCCGCTCCGCAGAGCATCCCTCGAGCACCCCTCCGCATGGACGTGAGCAGCGGGTGCTGCGCCGCATCCCGCTGGGCCACATCCCCCTGGGATAGGCTGTCCGCAAGGGACAGCGGCGATCTAGGGGCTGGGCCTCCCTCGGGGCCTTCCTTGAGTGTCCAGGAACGGAGCTCAGGTCCTTCCGACCCAAAGGGCATTGCTGCTGGAAAGTGCGATTTAAACTCGCTCACCCCGCTGGAGAGTGCAGGAGATGTGCTGAAAATGCCCCAGAAAGGCTAAGGTGGCGGGTCCCTTCTCTTCCTCCTGTGTGCCGCCGAGGTCCGTGGTGCAGGGAGCGCTGCAGCTGCTGAGGAAGGAGCGTGGCGCTTCCCGATCCCACAGAGCAGCCGGCAGAGCCTCCCGTGCCGCGGCCGGGCTGCCCCCCTAACGGCCTCCCTGGCCTCCCGCAGCTTGTTCCTTCCCCGACCGCGTGCTGGCCTTCCTGCTCCCCAAGCTGGAGAGCAGCAGCGAGAGGACGCGCGTGGGGACGCTGCTCATCATGCGGCAGATCATCAACAGCGCCGGTGAGCTGCGGGGCCAGGCAGGGGCCTCCGGCCTTCCCTGAGGCCCCACGGGCCCCAGCTGCCTCCCAGGCTGCAGCGAGGGGAGACGGGGTGGGAAGGAGGATCCAGGGGTGACCCCAAGGCTGGGGAGGAGATGGCCCATCCAGATACAGGGATCAGGGCACGGAGGGGGGCACTGGAGCCTCGCCAAGCGTCTCCCTGTTCCCTTACGCAGCCTCCCAAATGGAGGTCAAGAAGCCTGTCATCCTCTCCTCCATGAAGCTTCCTCTGCAGGACAGCAACGCCAGGGTAGGTGGAGGCTCTGCCCCGCCGCGGCGCTGGGGCTGCTCAACGGCCTCCCCGCGGGGCCCCCGCTCCGCTGTCCCCCCAGGTGAAC